GACCTCAACTTTGTCGTTCAAGCATGATAGTTTGTTTGTCTGTGCTAGGGTTTCAGGGCACTACCCCTGAAAAATTATTTTCAATATCTAACGCCCAAAAGACAACACTACAACGCCCAATCCTGGTTTCAGAACCCGAGAGCACAACACTCCAGGGCACGTAAGGGAGCGTCGCAGCACCTAGTTCAAATTCAGAACATGAGAACATGGCACTGCGGCAACCCATCGCCCATTGGAGTGTCGCAACGCCATAACATGGTGCCCCAACGCCCATAACCGAAATTGAGTCATTCTTCGATTATAGTATTGTTTTGTTGATAGGAAGATATGTGATTTAAATTTCTCTTATACTAAGGAGAGGAGAGAAGTGTTCCAAAGTATGGAGAGACTTTAGTGTTGTGTATTTGTACAATTCTCCTCATTTTTCATGGTGAATTTCTTGGTGTGGTGTGGCTCCGTAATTTTTCTCGTTCTCAGGTTTTTTCACGTTAAATCTCGTATATTTTGTGTATTCTTATTTTGTGTGCTTTTGTTCAAAGTTTTGCTTTGAATTTCTCGAATCAATTTCCACGATTTCATCTCATCCTCCCCACCCCTAACCAAAATTACAAACATGCACAATGTCATGCAAATTTAGTTCATAATGCACCACACAAATAAAAATTTTCTCAATCTTTACACATTTCGCAAATTAAACACTAACACATCTAAAATGATGAAAAGGTCACAGAAAAACACTAATAATTATCGCACAAAAAGATTGCTAACCTTGCCCGCAAACAAAATGAGGATGAAATTTTGACATGCACGAGCGACAAAAAACAATTGCATCAAGAATCAATTCTAAGATAAAGAAAATTATTCAGTATAGGTTTCGCATGTCTAAGCTTGGTAATGATTTGATTAGTGATCACTTTGAAGGTAGATTTTTGAAATTATTACTGGTGGATTCATGCCAATATAGGAGACAAGTTCACAACAGCCTTTAAGACAAAGGGTAGCTTCATGAGCTATTAGTTATGCACTTGGGCAAGCCGACATCCAAAGCACGTTCACATGAGATAGCTCATGCACTGTCATTTTATTTGCTCATTTGACAGAATTTTGTCTTATGGTAAGAGGAGGAAGGATCATCTCATATACAAGGAAATTTAAGAAAATTTTGCAGCAAGAAAATTTTCATCAATAATAGAAAAGGTTTATTGACCGATTTATTAGAATTGGCAACATCTTAGAGGAATTGAAAGAGTTACCAAAGAGAATCTGACTGTAATAATTGAGTACAAATAGAAAATATTAAAAATAAAATACAATTAAAATAAATAAAAGAGAATTTTCGAAACGGCGGTACGGGTTTGAAACAACTGTCACGACAATTTCGTCGTCTGAAGATCAATAACTTAGGCAGTCTTTGGTAGCATACGTTTAATAAGATTTAAGGATGGATTTAATGTAAATCCACCCAAAAGCAAAAAACTGGGAAGTAAATCCAACGGTTCGCCCAATCCAAATTTTCCTCCATTCTGCCACTTTTTTACACAAATCCGGATTTACTAAATCTGATTTTTAGGTGAATTTAACACATTAGCTTTAGAAGAAATTTAAATCTTGAAATAAGATGCTTAACATGTCAAACATATTTAAGTAGATTTAACATTAATTGAACCAAACACTATTCTAGATTTACAGTGTATGGATTTGATAAATCCGGATTTACTTAATATTATTTAACATAAATTTTATGTGCAGCCAAACACTCCCTTGATCTTATTTGAATCAGTCAAGGAAGTAATAAGCGAAAGAGTGGGAGACGGAGAAAGAAGAAAAGGAAGGCTAGCTTATTTCGCATACCTAAAGACCGGCGTTGTTGTGTGCCTCATGTGAAGGAGTAGTAGGCGAGCGGTCACACATGCAGGAGAATTTGACACCGTTGTCATAGCCCTAGGGTTCTGGCTGAAGGTGGAACGAAGTTCTGTGCGTTTCCTATGCAAAGGAGAAGTCGTATGATCCTGTGCACGAAGGAAGAAAGGAGGAGAGCTTGTGCCCTAACTGAACAAAAGAAGAAATGCCAAGCGGCTCTAGTGTGATGGAGAAGAGAAGGAAGATAAGTTGTGTCGTGTGAGAGGGGAAACTCGTGCCCTGGAGTGCGAAAAGAAGCTCGCTTGTGTGCTGAAAAGAGGGAAGGATCGAACTGAAAAAAAGCCTTAGTTGAGCGGCTTGTGAAGAGAAAAGAAAATTAGCAAATAGCTTGCCAGAAGCACGTGCAGAACCGCAAAATTGTGCAGCCTTAGCTCGTAGGTTAATGTAAATTTGGGTTAGGATTTACTTTATTTGCTTATTAAAGAAGATTTTCAATTATATAACATCAAATTTTTATTAAAAGGTTAATTAGAAATTATAGGTAGAAGGATAGAAGTTGAGACAAGTCGAATTATAGGGGAGAAAGACAAGCCTTATGAGCAAGGAAGCAAACCAAGCCTTTTAGGGTAGGAGTCTATAGGTTATTTATTTTATTTGAGGAAATCATTTAATAAGAAAATTTTGTGCTAAAAATAAGGTTATGATTTCAATCAGGCGAGCATTGAAGTCGTGTGGGAGAATTGAATCAAGGAAACGTGGTGATTTGAGAAAAATTAAGTTAGGGTTAATTAAAATTAGATTTTTATCTATATAAAATTGCATCTATATTCATATGTTAATGTAGATTTAAGTTAATTAAAAATATAGAAAGAAATGGAAGTATATTTGAATTAAGAATCAACGAGAGTTAGCCACATCTTTCGAGTTAAGATTTTCCTAATTAAGCTAAAGATGATATTTAAATCCAATTGAAGGTATCTATATTTAAGTATTATTCATAAATCAATTTCATGAATCCAATTTAAGCAAAAGTTAAAGTATTTGAAAGGATCATTTTAAGTTAAATCAATGTGAGTAATTAATAGTTTATTTGCATTAAATTTAATTCTTTTATTTTTAAAATGTATCATTTGTTCGTATACATTAAAAGTGTATTTACAAATGAAAGAAACTAAATGAAAAAGAAATGATTCTTTTATGATTTCAGTTCTCTCACTTCTTATTCTGCATTAAATGGAAAATAAACAAAATTAATGATTTAAAGGAATAAAATAATTGAAAATGAAAATTTTAATGTTAAGACTATTAGGAGTCGCCCCCTATGGTACTAGAAGGGGATGTTATTGTACTCGTGCACGTTAAAAATAAATAAAAAAGGTAAAAATGTATCTATATGATATAAATGATAATGTTGTATCTTCATGATACAAATGGTAAAAATTATACCTTTTGTTATAAAATGGTAAAGATTTTAACGAAGCTCCTAAGAGGCCTTCTAAAAGTAAAAGAAAATGAAAAATGTAAGGTTTACATTATGATCAACATAATTCTTTGTATATCCATATTAGTCATTTGCATATAAAGAGTTAATGCATAATAAAATAATAATTATTCACTAATTTGCTTAAACTTAACCTGCTATTTAACTGTCTTTCAAGAAAAGGTCTTCTAAACAGAGATGCCTAATAAGAGGGAGTTTTATTACCAGAGAAGAGGAATTGTGGATGATGGACAGTAGTTTGTTTATTTGTATTATGTTGTCACTTTAATTGTATTACTTGTGTTATTGTAGTAGATTGGATGATATTATGTGTTTTATTAGATGATTTCTTACGTGTGTATTGTGGATTTAGCGATTCTTTTCTATATGAATGTTATTGCAGATCATTGTTAATCGTTAGAAATGTCTTTCACCGTCCGACTGTCCGTATCAGGTTAATTCTAAGTTCTTGGACAGGGTATTGACACTACCTATAAGGATCCTGAAGACTTCTACATATACAATGCTCAGGTAAGTGGCCAACCCAATACAAAAAAAAATTCAATTCTTCATCAAAGAACACCCTTCTTTGCAGTAACATGGGTGGGATGCAACAATTTGGACAAGATCTTCATCAAAGAACACCCTTCTTTGCAGTAACATGGTTGGGATGCAACAATTTGGACAAGATAAGACTATGGCTTTGGTAGAAACTTAGTTAGCTTGGAATCAAGTGCAAAAGTGGCAAGTACTGTTGCTGGATGTTGCAATTGTCAATTGGTTCCATCAAAAGAGCCCAAATATGATTTTTTGAACTTAAATGCTGATTTCTTACTTCAACTTGAGAAGAAATAAGCATATAATTTTTAATTTTCTACTTACCTAACCCTTTTAAGCATCCTGACTTAATTCTTATCGTGGAAGAGCAATTTTCAACAATAAAAAATCTATCCCATACACCAAGAAAGCTAATGCATTGTATACGCTGAACACTCACTGGTGAGCTTTTTACATATCATGATCCTCCAAAAATTATTGTATCAAATAAGGATGCTCAGTTTAACAAGGTCTTAAGAAGAAGATGTGTTGCCACTTACCAACTGAAGCTAAATGGTCGGAATTATAAGTTTGATAACACAAAGCAATGTTTTGGTATGAGAACACTCCAATCTAGAGGTTTGTGCCTCGGGCTGCAGAATTTGAATAATAACTTTGTTAATGTGTTCAGCTACAACACTCCCTTCGAAATTGTCACCAATTACAAACTCATGAAGCGCATAAACTTCACTATAAATCTTTTAATCCATATATATCACTTTGCTCGTCTCTATCACATTGTAGAATCATTAAATTTATTAAGTGGCGATATCCTATCATTATTTTTCATAAAAGCCAAAAACAAAATGTTTTGGCCAGTCATTTGCCCTGATTATGATGGGGACAAACCAAAAAAAATGATGAAAAAACAGGTGATCCAATCTATATAGATCAATACAGCATGTTTTACTAACACCATTTGAAACTAGAATAATTTAGATGATGCAGTTGCGGTAGCATCTTTCATGCAGCTCAATTGCAAGCAGAAACTAATCAAAAAATACAGGAAAAAGCATTTAGCTACAAAATCCTAGACAATGAAAAACAAAATACAATAAATCACCTGGTTATCTATTCGCCGAGACTCATGCAGTGACGTTCCAATAACATGAAGCCCACCGAGCTTTTTCACTTCATTGCCTTTATCAGAACAATGTACTTCAGTATCTTTGAGAACTGTGTGATATGCAAATGCTATCGTAGGAATAAGAGGATACATCCTAGCTTCTCTAACAATCTGCTTTTCCAGTTCTTCAATTTCAACCGATTGACTCAATTCAATGGATTCTGACATTACAGATTTAGCCTTCTGATATGACCAACTTTTTCCTTCGCTTTTGCTTACATATTTGGCTACAGATATAAACCCACAGTAAGTAAACAAACCTAAACATAACACTTACAGAAATAGCTTGAAAATTAAATCAATACAGAATTGGGCTTGTGAGAAACAGATTAGCTAGAAACGATTATTCGGAACAATAAAAGTAAGTTCTAACCCATAAGTGCAGCCTTTGCAATCAATGCTAATGATGACGGTCCAACCTTTATTTTGGACTGACCCTGTTTCAAATTTACATGAAGAAAAAGAGACAAGTTAAGGGTCAAAATAGTCCCCTGGCAGTTTACATGTGGTCATTTTAGTCCCAGAGTCTACAAAAGTGTCAAATTAATCCCTAAACCTTTCAAATCAGGGTTGAAATAGTCCTGACTTAATTTTTATCGTGGAAACTATTTCAGACCAAATCAAAAAACTGTGGACTAAATTGGCATTTTATAGAGTCTGGGACTAAAATGATCTCCTGCAAAGAATGAAGGATGTATTTTGACACTTCTCTCAAAATAGAATACAGCTATATGCTTGCTGCGCTTGAGCTAGATCTATGGAGTCACCTTTTGGGAGATAGGCACCCCATCTGTTTCCAAATTTGGAGCTTCTTTTGTCATGAAAGGAAGCAAGCTATCCTCCAAAATTTCTTTGGCAAGCATCTTTCAAAGTAAAAGCAGAAACACAATTGATAAGACAAGACAGCTTAAAGTGGTTGAAGTTTGGCACATGTTCTAAATTGGTAAGCTCTACAAAAAAACTAAGAAATAATGAATTTCCCGTAAGCTTCCCAACCCTACATGCATTTAGACAAGTATGGATTCTGTGAAGTTTATGCATAATATCCCAACATACCTTAGGATTACCACCAAGGATTATATCAGTACCTCTGCCAGCCATGTTGGTAGAAATTGTTATGGCATATATTCTGCCTGCTTGTGCAATAATTTCAGCTTCCCTTGCAGCATACTAAAAGAACATCGATGTAAAATTTAGGAATAAAACTACAAATTTAATGGAAGCATTAGGAAAATTAGATCGCTGAATGAGGAAAAAATGGATTTACAAAGTAGATATAACGTAAGATATATTTTAACGTACCTTAGGCCTTGCATTAAGAACATTGTGTGGAATTTGATGGTCTTTCAAAAGATCAGACAAATATTCAGAATTCTCAACACTACATTGGAAAGAACAGTAACACAAATAAAAAGAGTAAATAAAAATGTAGAGCAAATTATATATCGAGAAAGTAAGCACAGTGATTGTTTGCCACAGCTACAGAAAATAAACATGCAAGTTCAGTGACCAGGCGTGTCAAAGGGGTTCCTGCATGAGGGCGCGGTAATTACCTTGACTGGACAGTTCAGTCCAAGCATAGGAAGGACCGACCGGCCCTCCCAGGCATGGACTTGCCACCTATTGGGAGTGGGGTCCACTCCTACTTATCCTAGGGTTATATAGTTGTATTCTTGATGTTTTAAGTTCAATTTTTGTGAGATTTTCGTCGGGACAGCCGTCAGTATCTCAAAGTTTTACCTTCTTAGGGTTGTATTCAAGGCCGAGTGGTGTGCCGGTTGTATCTCGTTCCGAGGTAATGATTATCCTCAAAGTGTTAAGCCCTTACAGTTTGTTGCCCAGAATACAGGTACATAATCAAAACAAATGCAACGCTAACAAGAGCAAAAGAAATGCTACAATCACAAAATCGAACTGAACTAAAGTCTTCACAAGAAACTTCAAATCTCTAACATCACTTTTCACCGTGTCATCAACTGCATATATCCTCTCGTCAGCTTGCTCCTGTGGTGCATCTTTAAGTTCATCAACCCACTAGAAGAATTTGCAATCTCTATTTGTTAAATTCTTTGAAAACCGGTAAAATTTTCGTCCTACATTGTCTCCTTTCTGAGCGATGAAAATGATGAATGATAGATTGCAATCACAGAAAACAGATTAATGTTTGCTCCCCCTGGCGTTTGTTAAAGTGTTTGAGCACATTTTCAATAGACTAATCATGATGATTAGAACGGAAAGATAATGGGAAGGTGGCTACAGGAGGCAGCAGAAAGCTGAAGGAGTGGACTGTCTAGATGGCAGCGGGGCTAAGGGAAAACAGCAACTTGGTTGTTTTCCTGGGGCCGGCAGCAAGGGTTAGTGGTAAGGGTGAAGGGGCAACTATGTAGGAGGGAGTGGGGGAAGGGTGGAAGATGATGCACACCACCTCAGGAACGAGATACAATCAGAGCACCATTCGGAGCCCTTGGATACAGCCCCAGAAAGGAAAAAGAAGACATTCATGACTGTCCCAAAGCAAATCACAACAAAAACTAACCCTAAAAGCCAACAAAAAATAAATAAATAGCCCTATGACAACTAGAAGTGAACTAGAAGTGAACTAGAAGTGGGGCCTTCTTCTTGAAAGAGATGGCAATCCCAGCCTCCCAAGTCCTGGACCAGTTCGATCCAGGCATCCAGACACCTGCATCAGCCTTGCAACTTAAAATTTATCAAGTTTATTGAAATATGGTGCATAAATTATCAAAATCCTTGAATGCACTTTTTGTTCCAAAAATTATAAGCTAAGTGAACATGATAAACAAGAATCTCTTAACCATACAAGATACACTTACTAAAATTGAAGCATAATTATAAGAATGTCAAGCAAATGCAGCATTGATCAGTGTTGCCTGAGTATAATAGCCCTAACTCTCATCCATTGAGATATTATCGGCTTTGGCTTAATGGCCTCCAGGTTTTGCCCCATTGGTAAAAGGTCACCCATCCTAGGAGTGCTCCCATGTGAGCATGCATAACTTTGGAGTTTCTATCGAAATTCCACCATTCCACCAAAAGGAACCTTAATATTTAAGAGTTTAGCTTCATCATACTTAAGGGGGCATAATTATAAAAATAGTCAAGCAAATGTGGCATTGATCAGCTCTGCCTAAGTGTAACAGCCCAAACTCCCATCCATCAAGATATTGTCTGTTTTTGCCTAGTGGCCTCATAGTTTTACCCTAATGGCATAACTTTCCAGGAGGTCACCCATCCTAGGAGAGCTCCAGCATGAGCGCGTTTAACTTTGGAGTTCCTATTAAAACTCTAACTGTTACATCAAAAGGCGTCTCAATGTTTAAGTACCCAAAATTTCAGCTTAATTCTACTAAGGGTTTCACATTTAGTCTACTGGTTGAGAACTTTATCTCTATCCACAACATCTTAAATTCAAGCCCAAGCTCACAGACACAAAAAATAAATAAATAAATAAATAATAAATTTAAGAAAATTGTAGTGATGACCTATAAAAATTCACCTGGTAGTACCAACCAAAACAGGCCGACCAAGTCGAAACATATATTCAACTTCTTCCCTAACATGTTCCCATTTTCCACGTGCAGTCTAAACAACCCAAATCAAGCAAAATAATGTAATACACAAATCATTGGAAAAGCCAAATCAATAAGAATAGTTCTCAAAAGACATACAGCAAAGGCTTGAATAGGCAAATCCTTTCGTATGTTTGGTAGATTCGTAGGAATTTCAATAACTGGCATCTGAAACATTTTCAAGAATTCCTTCTCCTGCATGTAATAAGAATATCTGCCTTAAATGTTGTTTTTCTGAAAGATAATTCTAAAAATAATTGAATTCCATATTTCATCGTACTTCTGTTTTAGCAGTTCCTGTCATGCCAGAAAGCTTTGGATAAAGTTTAAACAGTGATTGGTATGTTATTTGCGCCACAACAACGGAATCGGCCTGGTACAATCAAATTTTCCATAAGAAACCGAACAAAATGACATTTGGAATTCAATAGATCAATTCAGGTTATTTTTGTTCAAGAGCGTGATAAAAGATTATAAATTTCATAAAACACCTGAATCTTAAGGCCTTCCTTGGCTTCTACAGCCTGGTGAATACCGTCGGACCATCTCCGTTTCTCCTCAACTCTCCCAGTAAGCTGAAATCAAATACAATTTACATAAATTATCAGCACAGATATCATCATCTAGGAAATTAAATAGATAACATTGTTTAAATTAGTTTCCTAGAAAAAAAAAGAGGGAAGGACGTCGTCTTTTTAATAACACTCTAGCAGTATATAATGTATCTCCAACAAAATTGGTTTTAAGATCGATCAATTAAACTACTACATTGCAAACATGCCAACCACAGAACAAATTTGTAAAACCAAGTCCGCCATGCAATCAATGAAACATGATGATTTCCTTAAAAGACTAAACAGTATTGAAAAGCAAACAAATGTGTAGGTTTGCTCACTAAACCATTAATGTATAGCTCAACTAAAGGATGGAGCTAGCACAATTTTTAAGAGTTCAGCTTATTGTGTTGAGGTGGGTTTAGAACATCAAAGTGATGCTCAAAACTAAGTTCATAAATTCTATGATCTAAAAAAAATCGTTAATGTAAATCAATGAGAGAAGAATATCTTGTGTGTGCATGAATGCTTGTATGAATATATCTATATGCCTATCCATATAAAGCATATGGTACACATAGACACATACCCACACCTAGAAGTGTGCAAAAATATCCGAAGAACTGAAGAACCTATCCGGACCAAACCAATCAATTCGGGCTGGTTCTAGTATGGGTCAGTTCAATTCTAGTTATCAAAACCGCTTTAAAGGATTATTACTCAGTTCAAAGTTGGATAAATTGCAAGCAAATCAAACCCAATTTATAAGTTTAAAATTTAGGAAAATGAAATGCGAAAAATGATGAAATGAAATGGACATTTATTTTATATTATTTTTTTTTATTATGAAATAAATTGGATAATGATTGCATATTACTTTTTTTTATAACATAGATGGCGCTTTGATTAAGTTCTATTCAATTTTACATTAGATATTACAATCATTTCAATTTATTTTTTATGGTAGGATGAATGATTGAATGCTTCACAGGATCATATCTAATTAAGTTTGAAATGCATATTTTATGTAATCACATGTTGTATTTGAAAAACAGATGTCCTGAACCATATAGTTGTTCAACATCATTAATCATGCATTTTTTATGAATTGCCAATATTCTAAATTTAGATCAGAGAATCCAAAAACCAAACCAAATTAACAGCTTTAAATCTAGTTCAATTTTGTTCTAAACATGGTGAAAATGAATTTACTCAGCTCGCGTCAACTTAGCCTAGTACGAACACAATCCAAGTTGCACCCCTAACCACTATTAGGACAAGGATTTTTATATATCTAATATTGCATTTTGATATACTGACTGTAGCTTGAGGCATGCCAAAGGATCCAAGAATTGAACATTGATTTAAGCACAACATTTGAGATGAAAGATCACGGAGTAATTAAGAAAAGTGTATGGATGGATACAGTAAGGAATAAAAAAAAGGTGCAATATATTTCTAACACAAATTAGACATATTGAGGTATTAAAAATATTAATTTGTGAAAAGCAAAAGTTTTCACCTCTTCATTAACTAGTCGTTTCAGTTTGTCAACAAACCCATCTCAACCACAAGATGAGAAGTATTAAAAAAGAGTGTCTTTTGCTAGTATGATTGAAAGTATCATGTAGGTTGTAGCATGCACATATTTGAACATTTCACACACTACAAATGTCGTAACCAAATACGTTAAAAAACTTAGCTTGGCACATGTAATAATCAAAACTTTTGCAAACGTAAATGTTAAATAGTCATCCAATTTTACACCTAATTAGTGCTCCTCTCAAAATATGATAAGTTATGATTTTATAAAAGCCTATAATTTGTGCTTATAATTTTGTTATTTATGAGAGAGAGAGAGAGAGAGATTATAGAAAAAGTCCAAGAGCTGATTTTATTGAAATAGAAAATGATACATAAAGATTGTATGAGAAGAGCCCAAAAGAGGCACCTTACCATACGATATAAGTACAGTAATATCCCAACAAAAGGATACAGATAGACTCAATAAAATGTAAAAGAAATTTAGAGCATGTTGAAAACAAGTAGCTAGGGACGAATCAGTTTAATCTTGCCTCTTCCTCTAGTTTTAGGAGCAAAACCAGATAACAAACTTTGAAGAGTTGTGTCATTGTCAGGAGTCACAAAGTATCATCCATTAAGTTTTCAAGTTGGAGTGAGCCCCCAGCCTTCTTCTTCTGCCGAGAAGTGTAAACATGTCATTCTTCATCTGAAGACTGGCTCATGTGATCCTCGATCTGATTTGATGTTAGCACCGCAGTTGGAGGAAAGACAGTCGTTGTCACCGCGATAGGTTCCAGTGTATGTGAAGTGTGAATTGTTATCTTTGCACCTGATGTTTCTTGAATAGGAGCTGCGAGACTATCCTGATTTTCAGTTCAAACATTATTCGTTGTAGTATGGTCGTATGGTCAGGAGAAGGGATCTGGGATCTCAAGGGCAGACACCAACTCCTATCTTGTGGTGGTTCCCTCCTGAGGTTGGCTGTCATCAGGTTTGCTGGGGGTGTGTTCAGGCACATGGGGTGCACTAATAGTATGTTCCAGCTTTTGACTATTGGCTCAATTGTGGATGCAATCTGAAACATTTCTCTTGCGGGTATCCAAACATCTTGCAGTGCTTGCAGTAGTATGGTTTTTGTTCCATAATGATTTTTTGCCAATAACCATTGTAAGAAGATCCAAGTCAGACTTCTTCTACATCTGGTAGTGTAATATCTCGTTCAATCAAAATCCTTGCAATAGCGGGCCTTGAGAAATGAACTATAGGTAAGTCTAAGTGGGTAAGTCTACCTGTAAAAACTTTTCAAATATAGTCTCAATTGCATATAAGATAGGTAGGTCAAAGAAATGAAGTTTGAGTTCAGATAATGAGAACCAGATAGGTGCAATTGGGGGTTCTTGACTGGGATCAAAATTGGGGGTCCATTTGAGCAATTTCATATGCTTGTCCTCAATTGTGATGAATTTCTTTGAGAAAATCCTCGTGTAATCATCTTCTATGTTCAGTTGTATCATAACAGGTCTTCCGTCGAAATGACCCACATGTCAATCCCCAACCAGTTTGAAATCTTCAAAACATTCCCGATCTCCATCTTAGGGCAACCTAATTGGAACTTTCCAACTAGTGTAAATTTGTATTTTCCTGCACGAGTTGAAATTTCAGCGTCAGAAAAGAAAATTGTTGGTTTGCCCGTCTTTTTCTCTAATTTTTTATGAGGTTGAAATCATTATTTCCTACAACATAATCATGATAAATCTGTGAGAATACTGCACTATCTGCGAGGAGAAAAGGGGAGCTGCGTTTGTGAACCACTGTAGCATAGAAGGGTTTGGTTGGGTTATCACCGGTGAGGGTGGCGGCATAGGAAAGCCCTGAGGTCATTACCGCAGTCAGTGCCAACTTGTAGCACAGTGAGAAGCTGCACGAGTGTCGAAAGGCTCTGTCGCAAACAGCAGAGGCAAAGCCGAGCAGACGGGCGGCTCTGTCGCAGAGAAGACACAGCAGGGTGTCGAGCGGTCGAGCGGCTCTTTGGCAGACAAGACGCAACAAGGTCGAATAGCTCTGTCAGCAGACGAGACAGGCTCCCGCGGGCCTGTCCCACAACCGGGG